TCCTGTTCTGGTCGGCTGAGCTCTGGCTTGGGGCTCCTTGTATGTCTTGAGAGGTGTCTGGAAGGACACCCAGACACTGGGAGACACGTCAGACCAAGAGAAACATCCTTTTTAAATGTCGAACTATTTATCCATTCAAAAATACTAGCTAGATAAAAAACAAAAACATGGGGCAGTCCTATGGCCTAGCAATTAAGGGAGCCAGATCCCACATGGCTGTCCATGCCTGAAAAACACTGGACACGTATGCACGTGTGCTCGAGATGCCAACCACATGGAGATGTGGGAGAGGGCACGGTGGGGTGACCGCGTCCTGTGTGTGGGCCAGCCGGTGCATGATGATTGGGGTGGCTGCTTCCCACATGGCCAATTTTCATGGTTGAAATCCTAGACCTGACCACTTGGAAATCACGCTGGGCACGTGTGTGTGTGTGTGCGTGTGCGTGTGTGCCCGAAACTCTGAAAGGAAGGAGACACGGAGGAGGAGAGATTGTAGATCCCATGGGAGGTGCTTTCCCATGGTCCCTCTCTCTTTTTCTCTCTCTAGCAAGGGCACACACCTCTAGAAAAAAAAATTTAAGTAAAAATTTAAAAAATTTTTTAAATTAAAAAATAGAGATAATAATAAAAATAAAAATAGAGATCATATTCTAAAATGAGGCGTTTTTGAACCTGCCAAAACCTCGATGGTGCCTCAGGCCCCAAGGTCATCTCTATGTCCCTCACAGCATCCCTCTTGTGACTGGGCCTTCCTGGGTCCTCACTGGGATCTCGGATGAGCCACTGTGGGGTCATGGCGTGCCTGGCTCTGGTCCAGCCCTGCCGGCTGGGTTCAAGGCAGATCCTTATCTGAACGATCAGGTGGGCAGCACAGCGGACCCATGCCCCGCCCCCTCCATGCCAGGACCCTGTTTGCCAGCCCTGGGCGGTTTGGGCCGACCTCCCTGCCTCCTCCCAGCTGCAGGCCCAGCCTATAAAGCCACCCTGGGTGCCCTTGCCGACCCTGGCCCCTCCCTTGACACCCAGAGCCACAATGGCAGAGCTGCCCGCCTCGGAGCTGCCCGCGGACGCGGCTCTGTGCAGTGGGCGCTTCACCATCAGCACACTGCTTGGGGCCGACGAGCCTCCGCCACCCCAGCCAGCCCAGTCCCCTGACCCACGGCAGCACCCTCTACACGCGCACCTTCGGCTACAACACGATCGATGTGGTGCCGGCCTACGAGCACTACGCCAACAGCGCCCTCCCCGGCGAGCCGCGGAAGGTGCGGCCCACGCTGGCCGACCTGCACTCCTTCCTCAAGGTAAGCGCCCTCTCGGAACGCGGGCCGCCTCCCTGCTGTGTGGCCTGGACCCAGTTAGCAAACCTCTCTGAACCTGGCGTGTCATCTGTGCCGTGAGGACAATGCCTTTCTCATGGACCGAGAGGCCCAAACGAAGGTGAGAGTGTGGGCTATAAAACTCTGGGCACCTGTCCTCATGTTTATTGTGTAGTCACTCAAAGGTAAGGGGGTGCCAGTGAGGGTGAGGGCAGGGGGATCCCACACGACTGGCTGCACGGTTCAAGGCTCAGACCCAGTTGTTAGAGAAACACCCGAGGCACGTGTGCATGCGCCCAAAATCCCATAAGGAGAATGGAGAAGGGGCGGTGTGATCACCCCTCGGGGGAAGGGAGGGCTTGCTCATTTTCCCCTCTCTGTATTTGTCTCTAAGAGGCACACATCCCCTAGCCAAAAAAAAAAAAGGAGAGGAGGTGGGGCCAGCAGGTAGCATGGGGGTTAAGGTGCTGGACTCCCACATAGTCGACTGCAGTTCAAGTCCCAGACCTGGTGACTTAAAAATCACGCTGGGCACATGTGTGCTCATGCCCAAAATCCCAAGAGGAGAAGGGACTGTGGCATGGCCATTCCCTCTTAGGGGTGATTTCTCATTTTCCCTCTCTCTGTCTCTCTCCAGTGAGCACACGTTCCCTATGGCAAAAACCTAAAAAAATAGGCAGAGTGGGAGGCTGAGAGGTAGTGGGCTTTTGTTCGGTGGGAACACGCAAACAGATGCATAAGAATCAAAGGGATGTGGAAAGGACAGGGAGGGTACCTTTCGGAGGGGCTCCTCACACAGCTCCATACAGCGAGGCCGAGGGGTCTGTGGGATGCCCATGTGGGCCGCGGTGGTGCGGGCCAGGTGCCCTGAGGCAGAAGCCAGGCCCCTCGCGTCCTGGCCTACCTGACCAGTGGTCTCTGGGCCCCCAGCAGGAAGGCAGCCACTTGCATGCGCTGGCCTTCGACAGCCGGCCCAGCCACGAGCTGACCGATGGGTTGGTGGAGGACGAGGCAGGCGCCAACAGCGAGAAGAGCCCTGGGGAGCCCGTGCGCTTCGGCTGGGTCAAGGGGGTAATGGTAAGTGGGGTGTGGATGGGAGCTTGATGTCCGGGAATGGGGGTTGGCAGACAGCGCTCCATCCAGCCTCAGGCTGATTCTCGGGTCCTAGAGGCCAGAGCAAGCCCAGGACCCGGCCTGGGCCTCAGTTTCCCCATCTGTACCGTGACTTCGAGTTTTCTCTGGTTTGTATTTCCAGACCCCTATGTGTCTCCTAGGACAAAACCTGCCCCGGGGGCAGATCTCAGTTTGGCCATTTGCTAGCTGTGTGATCTTGGGCAAGTTGCTCAACCTCTCTGTGGCCCAGTTTCCTTATCTGTGAAATGATGAGTAATAAATGAGTGAATCAATGAGCAGAGTCCTGAGAGCATCATCTGCCAGGGAATTATTAGAAGATTCTGTGTTTCCTGCAAATTGCCACCAGAGGGCAGCACTAAACAGACAACTCCACTAACGTGGTTTTCTCCTTCCCATTAAGAGACCGGTTTGTTACAGGGTGGAGCATGACTAAGTGACCTTGGCTTTGGAGGACATTACAGAGAGTGCCGCATGGGATTAGGAGAAAGTTTTACCCACAAGGGGACTGAGTTCTGACGTTGATTAATTCTGCCACCTGCCACCCGGCTGTGCCTCTACAGCCCCATCTGAACCCCGGGGGCGGGGGAGGGCAGGGAGCCACTCCCCCACCACCTCCAGCGGCCCACTTGTGGTCTGTGGCTCCCTA